TTGGAGTAAGTCCAGCAGACTTTGGGAAAATCTAGTATTCACTGACTTTGAATTAACAAAGTAACATGACCTCTTTGTGGGGTTTGTGTGGTGTTTTTTGTTGTTTTTTTTGTTGTCGTTGGTTTTTTTTGTTTTTGTTTTTGTTTTTGTTTTTGCCTCTTTTCTTAATTCACCTATGATTTAGGGTTGTGGTTCTCCATTTCTAGTGTGCCTGACGATCCCTGAGGAAGAGATGCTTGAGCCCCACCCCTGGAAATTTGGGGTAACAGGCAATTGGGGACTTTTTTTTAAACTCTAGAGATGGTCTTGATATATAATATGGGACAAGAGCCCCCATCGTGGTAAAGAATCATATTGGAGCCATTGAAAAATGAAAAGCCAGGTAGTGTTTTATCAAAATGGTGTTTCTCCTCACCTTTGAAGCCATGTTAATACTTTAATGTCTTGGTTTTCCGTAGCATTATTAGCCAGTCTCACAATTCTTGGGCTATAAAATTGGTGCAAAGTGATTCTCTAAACATAGTCTTACTGATATTTTTGTAGTGTGACCAGGTTTTCCTATGTTACTGTTTCCAGTGTCTTTAGTTTCCTTCCTTCATTCTTGGAATTTGTTTCTGAATCGTCCACCTCCATTTCCATGTCTTTTAAATCCATAGAAATCAGAACTGGTTCATGTAGCCTGGAACTTTTCAGATGGCTGTGTGCTTCAGAGTGGCCTAGGTGGAACTCCGATAGCACCCTTTAGATGATAAGGTACTTCTCCACACACTTGCGGTGGGTAATATTGTTTACTTCTGTTTATGAGCTGTGAGAAGGGCCAGGTGGGAGTGCTCAAGCCCCACTGTTAGCATGTGCGTGGTTACTGGGCTAGCACCTCTGTCCAGGATGTGGCTCCACATCCTTGTCAAATCCTGGGTACCTGTAAAAGAATTACATTTCCACCCCAGGGTCAAGTATGCTCATAACGCTCTATCTTTTATAAGGTATTTCTCAAGTGATCCATTACTAATAACAAAGTGAAGTTTATGAATGACTTATTTAACTTTGACTCTACTTTGTTCTGTCTCTTGGTTTAATAATGTCGTTCTAACATCATTCCACCTCCTTGAGTGGAGGAAAGGGAAGTAGGTTAGCTAGAGCTAGACTCCTGTGTCCAGAGTTGCACATCAGAATCTTTGGGAATGTGTTGAATATAGGACTGTCTTGTATCACATCTCTTGCTTCCGAAAATCGGGTTGGATTTTTCATGAAACAGACTCTGGGATGAAGTTTTGCCAGCACGTGGTTTAGCAGTTTGGCCTTCCAGAGAAGTCCTGAATTGAGGCACCAGGGACAAGCCTCTGTACCTAGGTATTGACTAGTCACTGGATGCAGGCTGCCCTCCAGTGGGGGATGTGACTTTGGATGAGGCAGCTTGTTTGACCGGGGTAGTGCTTAGGAAAGGGTGAGCCCATCAGCCAAGAGCAGGCCGCATTCTGAGCATCTGGGGTGGTGAGTGTCATGGACCCAGAGGGGGAATCTGAGTGATCCACTGCAGCATCGACTGTAAGAACCAGTGATCAAAAGTCTTGCCAAAGAGATTCCAAGTGTGCAACATGAAACTTCAGCCTTCCGTTTCCTGACCTTGTTGGTCTACATAGGTCTAAAGATGTGGTCCTTCCCTTATCACATTGGTTACTTTTTTTCCTTGCCACTCCCCAACCACTGGTAGCAACCGGAAAGGTCATTTACAGGAGTCTGGAACTTGATTTGTTAGGAATCGGCAATCATTTTGGAGGTTAGATATAATTCGAAGGGCATAATGATTTGAAAGTTTGGCTTTGTAATGTTGGTGTTTACATAATTCAATGCTTTGAAACCATTGTCCCCCAAAACTGACAAATTCTCAAGACTCATCACAACTGGTACATTAACAATGAGACCAGCATGGCATTTGAGATCAGTTGTTGGTATGGGGACCATAACACCCCTGACTGGTCATTTGCACCCTGGTGGCTCCCTCCTTTTCCTTCACTGTACACTAGAGCAATCCTTTTTTAGTTATCATGGTATAGCGTCTTAAAATTGCTGATTCTCTTTGAACGGTTCTCTCGAAAAAGATCCTATGGTATGGACATTCCCTTTGTTCAGACTCCTGAGTGACTTTGCCTCCACCGTGCCATCCCCTCTCTGCTGTCGCCAGCTGTCCTCTGCTTATGGTAGGACGGGGGAGACCAATCTCTCTGTGTAAACAAGCTGATAGAGGAGTCACCTGGAATGTGGACCTAATCAACAAATTTGTTGAAGGGGAAAAAGGGAGCCAAAGTGCCACTCCAGGAAAGAATATAGCAGTATCGATAGTTATTGTGTGCTTTGCCCTGGTACTTGCCCCATACCCTCTCCGTGTATTTCATTTTATTCTTGTAACTGCCCTATGGGTAGGTATGCTCTCTCTTTTACAGATGAGGAAGCCGAGGCCCAGAGGTATTTAGCCTGTTCACAGTCAGGTGGCGGAACAGGATTATCCGTTTGAACCTTTGTTCTGAACCTTCATCCCAGAGGTCACGGTGGTTGGGATCAAAGAGGGTGGTGGCAGGGGTGTGCTTCTGTTGCGGTTCTGCTGCACTGTGTTCCACATTGCAGAGAATCTGCCGTCTGAATGGGCAAAAGAGGGAAGGCTGCTGCCGACACACGTCTGGTGACTTTTCTACACCAGAGTAACTCAAAATAAAGGTGATTTCTCTTGCTTTGTTACAGTAGTGCCATCCAGAAACCAGTTAACAGTCCTCAAGCGGGGACTGATTGCAGAAAGCCGTGCCTGCTGTCTCTAACAGTGTAGAAGCTGGATCTGAGTTCACTTTGCATGAGTGTAAGCTTTTCTTTGCTTGAAAAGAAGGAATGTTCTTCTCTTATTTCTCTACCAAGCAGGTAAAATAGACTTCTTCACCTCACCCTAGTCAAATAATCCAAAAGAGAAAGCAGAAGGAAGTCCAAGGTCACGAACGATAGTCTGGTATTGTGTGTGACTTTCCTCAGCTGGTGGTGGGTGACACCACTCTCCCCGCACCGTGGTTGTGTTAAGGAGTCTCAGGTCATATCTGGGCCAAGTAAGAAAGTGCTGCCTCTTTTCCTCCGTGAATAAAGCCAGTTAGTTGTAAGAGGTGACCTAGCCTGACATTAGACTAAGACTTTCCGTTATTTTTTTGGGCAGGGACCCCTTTGCCTTCTGATTATACTTGCAGATTTTTTTTGCCCCCACCCTGCACGACCAACATTTCTTTGCCGATTTAACATTCTGTACTGTCTTTGCCCACAGAGAACTGTCAACTCTTGCTCTTTTTCCCTCCAGAGATCCCTTTTGGCTCTCATACTTAGCCTCGCGCTGTTTTTGCAAAGTTGAATACATCTCCTTCTTATGCCTTGCCTTATCTTCTTAGCTCTGAGACTCCTAGATGAATAGAAAAATGATTCCAGAAAAATCTTTACCCTGGATCTTGGTAGGTGATAAGTCAGTGCTCACGCTCCCTTAAGAATGCTGAGACTAGGGACGCCTGGGTGGCTCAGTGGGTTAAGCCGCTGCCTTCGGCTCAGGTCATGACCCCAGGGTCCTGGGATCAAGTCCCGCATCGGGCTCCTTGCTCAGCAGGGAGCCTGCTTCTCTCTCTCTGCCTCTGCCTGCCTCTCTCCCTGCTTGTGTGCTGTTCTCTCTCTCTCTTCCTCTCTGATAAATAAATAAATAAAATCTTAAAAAAAAAAAAAGAATGCTGAGACTAGGGGGTCCTGGGTGGCTCAGTGGGTTAAGCCTCTGCCTTCGTCTCAGGTCATGATCTCAGGGTCCTGGGATCGAGCCCCGCATAGGCTTTTCTGCTCAGCAGGAAGCCTACTTCTCCCCTCTCTCTACCTGCCTCTCTGCCTACTTGTGATCTCTGTCTGTCAAATAAATAAATAAAATCTTTTAAAAAAAGAATGCTGAGACTATTTTCAATTTTCAGACTGCAGCCTTGTGGTATAGGACTGTTGTATATGGGTGGTGAATTAATAATTTGCTTGCAACCTATAAGTCACTGATGTCAGCCAAAGCTTATTAAAAATGAATTTTACTGAGGAAGTTCCATGGAGACAAACAGCCTGCTTTCCCTAACTTTGCAGGAATCCGTGCAAAAGGGAGCTTTAGCAGGTGGATTTGGGAACAGAGGGACACATATACACACTTGGCTTTCTTTCTGCTTTGCACTCCTGTTTCTCTGTGCAACCAGGATCGTCATGACAGCCTTATCTCTCCAATAAAGCCTGTTACCTCATCCCTAATTGCTTATCCAAAGGCAGGCGAGCTCTAATTTCTCCACATTAATAAATGACACCGAAGAAGAACTGCTTTGTTTGCACTGGCTCACTCAGGTTAACCAGTGTGGGCCCCCGAGTGCATCAGGAAACCGTGTGTTTCTGCAGCGGCCAAGGGGAGGTGGTGCTCACCTCATTCGAAAGCAGCGTTTCGTTTGTTTACTTCTTGCTCATCTTCATCGCCATGTTCTTTTCCTGATGAAAACACTTTAGTGACCTAGGTCAGCATTTCTCTGGCTGTGGGTGCTCACTGACCTCCCAGGCTGGGTGTGGGAGGAGTTGCCCTGGGGGAACCAATGGCCCTCTGACTTCAAGGCTCACTTTCTTAGCTGCCCACCACTCCGCTTTCCTCAAAGGCCAAGAAGATTTCCGCAGCCTTTGCACTGCTTCCTGTGGCGTACCCCAGATTGTGGTCTGGCGCCCCTGCTGCTCTCCGAAGTGTTATGGGAAACAGTCTTGTGGATTTTCTGAGTGGATGTGAGGAGGGTGGGCTTGGGGCAGGGAGAATTTGGAGTGGCTCTCAGGTTCTGTGACTGCTCTGAGGAGTAGTGAGAATGCGGGGCTCCCCCTGGGACAACAGCATCTCTCTCGTTCCCGCCCAAGAATATCTTTTGCCCTTTGAAGGAGCATTTTCATACCTCCGAATTATAAACTTACTTCCCTTTTCTCTTTGTCTTCAGAATGAAATGGATGATGTGCCCTTCTTTGATATCCAACTGCCTTATGAACTGGCAATCAATATATTTCAGTATCTGGACAGGAAAGAACTAGGAAGGTGTGCACAGGTAAGTGATTAGTAAACTAACATTCCAGATTTCCTTCCACTTGTAACGCAAGGGTAGGCAGCTCTTGGGTAACAGAGATGGACTTGTCAGAACTGGAAAGTTTAAAGAATTAATGAAGTGGATGGCAACTTTCCTTGAGGGAAAGCAACCTTGAACTGGAAGGATTGGGTTCCACAGCACCACTTGGTGTTTATCTCCTTGTGGCCGTCTGTTCAAGAGCTCTGTTCTCCCTGCCATCTGAGTTACGGTCGCCCTGTGGCCGACAGCTCTGCTCGGCCTTTATAGAGCTAGCCTGAGCTGTTAATGTCCTCAGCATTAATGCAAAGATGCCAGCCCTTGGGTTAAATCAAGCCAGTCGTTAGGTGGGGAGCTGAGGGTCAGCCTGGGGACAAAACAGTGAAGTCATGTGTTAACGCGTATTGTCCAAATGACCCTTTAAAGACAAGAATTCCACTCAGTGAGGTGCGAGGCACGTGAGAACAGACACCCCCTGAGGGAATTGCAGATCTGTGTTCCCCATCTACTGCTTGTTCTGGGGCATATGCCCATGGGGCAGCATGGTGGCACATACCGTCCAGGCCACACTTGACTGTGTACATGTATCACAGGAGATCTTGATAAAATGCAAATTTGGACTCAGGAGGTCTGGGGTAGGGCCCGATATTCTGCATTTCTAACCAGGTAATACCTGTGTGGCTTTGACCACACTTTGAGGGGCAAGGGTTTATCCCATTAACTTAAGTCTCTTTTTCACTTCTTTTTGGTAAAGAGTATAATGGGTGAAGTGTATAATTTCTCATAAGTTGAATGTATGATTGCTGACCTTATGGTTTTCATGGATACCTGTATTCCCCAGAGGAGACTAGAGTATTCATTGTCTATAACTCCCAAAGACTTAATTTGTCTAGTGGCTACCATTTCCTGTCCCCGGATTCCAGACTGCCTTTTACACAAGTGTCTACATCTTAAAGGAAAGGGATCAGTAAAATGGAATGGTACCAGAACTGTGTACTAAAATTCTAGGGGGGCCTGACTGGCTCAGTCAGAGGAGCCTGCAACTCTTGATCTTGGGGTTGTGAGTGTAAGCCCCAGGTTGGGTAGAGATTACTCAAAAAATAAATATAAAAATTTGTTGAAAAATTTTAAAAATGTGAAGTTAAAAAGATTAAGGCGGTTTGAGAGGTACAAACTGTAGCCAAATGTAGACTCTAGAGCTTGCTACCTCTGGCAGTTCAATGAAGTCACACAAAATACAGGACAATTTTAAAAAGTTTCTGGTTTTATACTATATGAAGCAGTTTGCTTAGTCAAAATTTTCTACCTAGATAGGAATTTGAAAGAGCTTTTAGTATTTTTTTTCAGGTTTTATTTATTTATTTGACGGAGGAAGCACAAGCAGGGGGAGCAGCAGGGAGCCCGACACAGGGCTTGATCCCAGAACCCTGGGATCATGACCTGAGCCAAAAGCAGACGCTTAACCGACTGAGCCACCCAGGTGCCCCATGTTTTTAGTATTCTTGATTGCCACAATATTAAGTGGGGGTGTTAGCAAGTATTTTTTAATACTTGCAGAGTCTGGAGTCTTCAGGAAATAATGGAAAAAATTATTCTAAGGCTAAAATTCACTAAATAAAAATGTACTGAAATGTAAACCGTGCTCAGAGCCTATCAAGTGCATTAAGCAAGAGTACCTATATTGTCTTCTTCTTTCCCTTGGAAATTGGATTTGTTCTATTCTAACTTTACACTTTGGCCCCGTTCCCAAGAGTCGAAAACAAGGGTATAGCTAAATGAGTCCAACTCCTGGATTTCAGCCTGATGCTGTTAGCCGGAGTCTTGGAACAGGGTCTAATAGCTAGCTGCTTTCCACAAAGTCAGCATTAGATGATAAAATCTTCATTCTTGATAGGGAGCTGCTGTTTAAGGAATCCTTTATTTTTGCTCTCCTGCTTTGTAGAGGGCCATGTGGCTTTCACATCTGCTGCTGGTTTTCTCATCCAAAGAGTTTATCAGTGAAAGATAGGATCTAGTGGAAGAAGAGATCCCCCTTTTGGTACAAGGGGGCTGCATTTCAGGATAGATTGGTCATGCTGGTGAGATTATTCTGCAGGTGTGAACGGTTTAATTTGCAACACAGTGGTCCAATTGTCCACCAGAATTTTTCCCTCTTTGGTCAGTTGGATTTGTTTTTTGTTTTTCGTTTCAGCCTAATTTTTAGAGCACACATATAAGCATGAAAATATTCTTAAACAGAACCCCTAAGGTGGCTCTGATCTATGAAGCCAGGATTTTTTTTTTTTTTTTTTTTTTTAAATAGTGCCTTTGCATGAAGAAGACAATGGATGGCTGGTAATGCTTAGAATTGGCTTTGTTTTTTCAAGCATTAAAGTACAAGCACCACATAATAGAAATCAGTAGCATTTTCATTTGTTTCTTGTGTTTTTACTTTTAAAACCGGGGAAAAAATCCTTCTGTTGAGTGAAATGCCCTGCTGCTGTATGATTTGATTTTTAGAGGGGGCTTGCTCTGTCTGTCCTTCTGTCTCTCTCTTCTCTTTTAATCAAGCCGCCTTGGGATTTTAGTGAAATTGGGCCAGTTATAGTAGAATTGGCACCATGAACTATATGTGTGCCCTGGAGAAAACTTGTTTGCTTAGATCTTTATGCCAAATTGGTAACTGACTAACAGTAAGGAACCTGGATTGGGAAGGACTTCTTAAGATTTAATTATGCCACAAAGTATGCTGGAGAAGTGATTTTACTCTTTGTCTCCTTTCTGCATCCCTTTGTTTTCTGCTTTGTAGGTTTTAACCTTTCAGAACTAAAGTCCCAGTGCATTTGTTTGTGGTCCTTGTGTACTTCTGATGCTGACCTTCCTAGCTCCTTGCTATCGATAGTTGTCTCTTGCGGGATTTAGTGTCCCTGTGGGAATGTTTCATGCTGAAATGTCTTAAAAAACAGTGTTGCTTTTAGTAAGCAAAGTTATGCATTGGGCGATTCATTGAACAGCTTTATCATTTTGCTACTTATATTTTTATGGTTTTGTGTGTGTGTATGCCCGTGGAGTTCCTGGTACTCTAAAAGACAATGTTTTTAAGCAGATAACAATTACAAAATTGTTGAGTTCAAAATTACAATTTTTTTTAATTGGAAGAGTAAGTCTGCTGTTATATTACAATAGGAATTGTAATTCTGAGAAGTAATGGTTTTAGGATTTACTAAGAGTAATTTTTAAAACCTTAAAAAATAAATTCATGGGTAGTTGCAAAAGATAGTCTGGAGAGGTCCTGTGTTCTCTTCCCCCGGTTCTCTCATTTGGCAATATCTTGGATACAGAGTAATATCAAAGCCAGGAAACTGACATTAGTACAGTCCATAGAGCTTAACTCTGATTTCGTCAGCTTTACATACATTTATTTTGAATGTATTTAGTTCTGCCCAGTTTTACCACAGGTGTGGATTTATGTGGCCACACAGTAAAAGTACACAACATTCATCACAAGGATCTTTTGTGCTCCCTCTTATGGGCTGGCCATCTCTGCCCCTACCCCATCCCTAGTCCCTCGCAACCACCAGTCTGTTTTCATCTCTATAATTTTGTCTTATTTTAATTTTCATTTGTTTCACATTTTATGTCTGTTTCCTAAAGTATAACTTTAGAAATCTAGCTGTATAGGTAACAGTGTCACATTTTTCAAGTAAGAAGTAGAAAAATGTGCATAAAGGAAGCAATGAAGAAAAATGGGGTAGAGCTGGAGGTTAAAAACTTAAGATGTATGGTAAAATTGACAAACAAGGAGTAGGTATTACCAAAATAGATCTGTAACTAAAGCCCACTATATTAGATTATGATATTTTTTTGTTTGATTTTTTTTTTTTTTTTTTTTTTTTAGAGTAGACTCCATTTGTGTAGAGCCCAACACAGGGCTTGAACTCACAACCCTGAGCTCAAGACCTGAGCTTGAATCAGAAATCAGATTCAACTGGGCCACCCAGGCACCCCAGTGTTTCAAGTTTTTAAGTAGGCTCTACATCCAACATGGAATACAAACCCATGATCCTGAGATCAAGAGTCACTCGCTCTACCCACTGAGCCTCCCGGGTGCCTCTGATAGCTCAGGTTTTAAGGAAAATGAGATCTTATGATCTCCAAATAGAAGCAAGTAAAATCTGAGGTTTTATTTAGCTAAAGATCTTCATGAAGTCTTTAAAGTTGGAAATCTCTAGCCAGGTGCTGCTGGAATGACGCCCCCCCCCCCCCCCCCACCAGTAGCCGACCTAACTCTGAAAAGGTAACTGCTGGCAGGGTTCTTTTCATTCTTCTCTCTCTGCTTTGCCACCTGACCCCATCTCCAAGGGAAACACGTGCCTGCTTGGGACTCAGGCATCCTCAGAGGTTTCTTTTTAATTCACCAGCTTGTCATGGCTGCCTCCTTTAAGGGGGGTGCGCCTGGGTGGTGCGGTCAGGTTAAGTGTCTGGCTCTTGGTTTGGGCTCAGGTCAGGATCTCAGGATCATGAGATTGAGCCCCACACCGGGCTCCGCTCCGGGTGGGGAGTCTGCTGGAGACTCTCTCTCTGCCTCTCCCTCTGGCCCTCCTGCTCATGTGCCCTTGGTTGCTCGCATGCGTGCGCGCGCTCTCCGATAAATGAATAGATCTTTTTCAAAAACTGAAAAATGGGGTGACAAAAGCAGCCACTCTGGGAGAAAAGATGGGGAGCTAGATGAGAGAAGAATGGCAGCGCCTCAATAATTATCTGAACGGAGCCCGGGGGGCGTGAGGTCGTTCGCACTGCTTGCTTCATTCTTTGTGTGCTCGAAGTGGCCTGTCATTTAGAAAGTTTACAAGAAGGAAAAACAGCGAAAAGTAGGATTTAGTGAGAACGTCTGAGCCTTTTGAGGGCTGTGGATGCAAGAAGCCGCGCAGTGAAAAGCATTTTGTAGTTTAAGTGTTGAATTTTTAGAAGTTGGACTTCCCACCTCGTTCAGCTATTCACGGGGC